TGATCTAATGTTGATAAAAAAATAATCTGGCCGTGGAAAAAGTTTGCACGCAACTTTGTATATCAGACAGTCAGTATTTGTTTTTAACATGATGCAGTTACATTGTCCGTAAACCATACTATTCATAAACAAAATCAACATTGCTTTAAGTTATCGAAAGTAATACTGGTTCCAAAATTGTTTTTAAAAAATCTGGATCCAAAAATTATCAAACACATAACGAATTTATTAATGATGTAGACTGTTAAAATTCAGGCTGTGCTAATTATAATATAAGTACATTTAGTATTTTCTAAACATTTTTATGGGTGTTTCAGGTTGTTTTTTTTTGTTATTGTACTGATATTTTTGCAAATTTAATAATGCATAATGCAAGAGCTAAATCTATATATTGTACGTAGGTTAAGTAGGTATTTCTTGAGACTGTAAATGTTAAATTTTTTTATAAGACATTTTAATGTATTAACTTGCTAAGTCTATAATCAAGTCTCAATGCCATCGGGTGCTCGAGATGTTCACAGATTCAAACACTGGCGGTTAATGTTAATGATTTAATTTAATTGAAAAATGGATAATCAAGACTTTAAGCTTATATACATAGGCCTATTTATATGATATAACATTAAATAACAAGTTTGCCCGTACATAATAGTACAGAAAGGGTTCAGTCCTACTCCCCTGCTTATTTTTTCTTGTGGTGGCCAAGAAAGTTCATCAGGATTTTCTGGCATGGTTCCTCTTTTAACTGGTGCAAGACAGAGGGGCTGGTAAGGGCTAATGTACAGTTGTTCGGATAGGACAAAAAAACGGTCCAGTCAAAATTTCCATCACAGCACACTTTCAAGCATTTGTCCAACTTCTTTAGCCCAGTTTGAGCAGCACAGTATGATGTTGAACCCCATTTCATTACAGATCCACAGTAGGTTGGCTGTCAGCCCAGTTGGAGCTGAACAGTAGGCCGTTTAACCCAATTACGTTTTTTTTAGGAGTATAAAGTTGCTTTTTATTTATTTTGTTTTTTTTACAGATCCTACATGTATATTTGAGCACCCTTGGTGGCAGTAATGACAAAGAAGTTCTAAAAAGATTTATATGGGCTTTATAATGGAAGTTAGACAACACTACTACTTGCCAAACACTACTACTTGTCACATAATGTAATGATATAAATATATATGTATCTATGGTAGCACAAATATCATTAGAATGTAGGCCAAAGCTTTACAAGCATTGTAGGCCTAAAATACTTTCTGTCTGAACTTTTGACAGTCAATTCTTTGATGACTAGTTAGTTTAGAGCAGATATCCTGTCACAGTATTATATAACAGGTCTTTGGCTTAAAGTTTAAACTGAGTTGTATCAGTGAGTTGAAAATCATCTGTGTTCCTGTTATTGCTCCCTGCTGCAGCCAGTAAACAATAACCTGTTGCGTTCCTTACAAATCTTCCAATTTTTACTGATAGATCAACCATAGCAAAGATCTCTATTAAGATTATATTTGTAATGTGTGTAAAATTTCTCTCTTCATGGGCCATATCTATGTTGTTTTTTTTTATTGAATCCTAATTCGTCATCACGATTCATGTTTGTTTATAAATGCAAATGTTATTGACAACTGTCCCAGACCCTCATTATTTATATGGCCCAACTTTTCTTCGGCGTACACCGGCACGGTATTAGACTAGGATAACAGTCCCGAAACTCGTGGAGTTGAAAAACATTAGTCTTATATACCGCCTCTACTTAATTATGGAAGTAGGTCGGAAAATGTAAAATTTGGCAATTTGACTTATACTCAACATCGACTTATACCCTGTATGGTAATGTGATGATGCCCCCTCTTCCAGACAAGACATAGGCTATAACTGTTTCAAATGACAAGTGCTAAATGAAGTATTTATGTGGTCTTTGGTGAAAGAAATGAAATGAAATGGGGTTTAACGTCCTACTGTTCTGCTCCTAACCTGGGCTAATGAAGACGAGCATATGCCATACAGTGTGCTATGAGGGAAATTTTGCCTGGGCAGCGGGGGCTACGGCCTACTCTTATATCGAATTCCAACTGCCAAGGGATCTTTTACGTGCACGCCAATGTCTACACGGGACCTCGGTTTTTCGTCCCATTTTCGTCTTACCCACTTAGCCACTTGATCCCCCCCCCTCTGGTGAAAGAGAGAGAGAGAGAAATGGGGTTTACTGTCCACTCGACACAAACTAGGTCATTTCGGGACAAACATATGGTTTAATTTTTTATTTACATAATTCGCTTGCGCATAGGGGTCTTTAGCAGTGGGAGGAAACCGGAGGACCCGGAGAAAACCCACGAGGTTGGACAGGCGACCCTACTCCTTGCCACGTACAGCCGGGGATTCGAAACCACGCCAGTCGACTCAATGACAGACTTTATGATACAGCGCGCACACGCTAACCATTCAGCCATCCACACACCCCCCTTTGGTGAAAGAAAACAGAGCTGTGGATAGTGAAATGAAAGTTTAACGTCCTACTGTTTTGCTCTGAACTGGGCTAATGAAGATGGGCATACGCCATACAGTGTGCTATGTGGGAAATTTTGCCCGGACAGTGGCACTACGGCCTTCTCTTATATCGAATTCTAACTTCAAGGGCTCTTGTACGTGCACGCCAATGTGTACATGGGACCTCATTTTTTTGTCCCATTTTAATGACTAGACAGCTGTCTTGTCTAGCCCTCTGTCCTGCATCACTGACAAGGGAGAACCACGCTGGAAAATCTGGAGTAACTTTCTCGGCCAATGCAGGGATCGAACACCCGACCTCCAGACTAGATAGCCAGTGTCTTACCGACTTAACCAACGTGATCCCCGTTGTGGCTACAATTCCTGGATTTGAAGGTCAGGTATGATATGAAACGAATTTTTTGAACCGGTTCACCAATGCAACCAATTCGTGACGGGTTAACTGATAGAGGGTTACATCCTTGATATAAATATACTTGTCGCGGGTTTTAAAAATAGAAATATATATATAAATTAGCTCAAAATTCATCTCTACATGTACATAGGCCAAGGGGGGATCATGTGGCTAAGTGGGTAAGACGCAGGGCCTGATGAGGACAGCTGTCTAGTCGTTTGGATGGGACAAAAAAAACCAAGGTCCAGTGTACACATTGTGTGCACATAAAAAATCCCCTGGCAGTTGGAATTCGATACAAGAGTAGGCCATAGCGCTGCTGCCCGGGCAAAATTTCCCTCATAGCACACTGTATGGCGTAACCTTTTGCGTCTCTTCAAAATATTTCAAATCTTTTGTCATGGATCAACCATTGCAAATATCCGTGTTACAATTATATTTGAAATGTGTTAAACCAATTCTGCAACACATGTAATATTGGTGTAGTATATATCTTTGTTTATACACCCACATATCAATTTTGTCTAGTCGTTTGGATGGTACGAATGACCGAAGTCCTGTGCACACATTGGTGTGCACGTGAAAGATCCCTTGGCAGTTTGAATTCGATATAAGAGTAGGCTTTAGCGCCGCTGTCTGGATAAAATTCCATAATAGGACACTGTATAGCATATTTCCATGTCATTAGCCCTGTCGGAATAGCACATTAAACCCCATTTCATTTCACTCATTCCAAAGTTAACTCCTATTCCATCAATACCTTGAGCAAATAAGATAGAGGCTATAGGTTTTGGCCCAATTTGGTCAATATCCCAGTTTTTTCTTTCTTATATGCATATCAACACTTTCATAGCGCTAATGTAGACCTTTTTCTTGAACATTTTCCCTTGTCAGTGATGCCGGACAGAGGACCTGACATGGATGGCTGACTAGTCATACGGAAGGGACAAAAAAACCAAGGTACAGTGTAAACTCAAGTGTGTGTGTGTGAAAGATCCCTTGGCAGTTGGAATTTTATATAAGAGTACGCCATAGCTCTGCACACTGTGTGGCATATGCCCGTCTTCATTTCTCAAACACCTGTGGATAAAAACTGTTAATATTTAAATGTGTATTTTGTATTTTATAACATTATATTTTTGTCTTTTAAATAAAGTATATGTATACATACTTGTAGTATATTTTGTCATATAATTATGCTAGATTTTTAACTTTTCTGTGCAATACATTTAGAATTCTGACTGGTTATGGGTAGATAGAGAGCAATGGGGTAAAACATCCAATAGACATAAACTGTTCTTTGGGACTAAGTGATTCAATTCAAGTTGAATAATTCATCCGCACCAGGAATCTTTAGTAGTAGGAGGACGCAGAGAAAACCCATGTTCAAGTTGGGTGTGGAAACAAACCACTTGACTCAATGACAGACCTTATGATCTAAAGCGCACACGTTGGACCATTCAACTTTAAGCCTCACCCACGGGTCAGGAAAATTTGATTATTGGTTGAATGTACTTCCCATTTACTGCCGCAAATAATGAATAATTTTGAAGGTTTTAATGGTTGCTTATATTTTCGTAACTTTGCTCATTAAAATTTGAGATTAGAATTGCATCCGTAAATGATGTTAATTTAATGTTAGATTTACGTTATAATGGTCGTTTAGATATCCATCATTTTGCTCATCCTTTTAACGACAATTTAACGTCAGGAAATGACGTTAATCTAGCGTAAAGTTTACGTCATTTTTACGTTATATTTACATCATTTTCTGACGTAAATCTAACGTAAAGTTTACGTAATTTTCTGACGTAAATCTAACGAAAATGACGTAAACTTTACGCAAATTTTACGTTAGATTTACGTCAGAAAATGACGTAAAGTTTACGTTAGATTTACGTCAGAAAATGACGTAAATATAACGTAAAAATGACGTAAAGTTTACGTTAGATTAACGTCATTTCCTGACGTAAAATTATCGTTAAAAAGATGAGCAAAATGATGGTAAACTGACTGACCATTTTTACGTAAATGTAACGTAAAATTAACATCATATTGTTATGTGGGTAAATATAAGGCTTTTATAACAGCCAATCAAAAGGACAATCGAAAGCACAGTAACTATGAATGGATTTCAATGGCGGTGAAATGTCAGACAAAAACAACGCTTCATTAATTTAAACCCGAATATTTGGAGTTAGGCGACAGTTGTGCCACCAAATTGGCCTCTGTAAGTTTAATTAATCATAATATCATTATCTATTTTAAAGATGATACATGCATTAATAAAGAAATTGAGTTTGCCACTTGGAACTAAAGGCATCCAATCGTAGCTAAAAACAAACACATCAGTAGGCTATATCTCAACATTTTTAGCTACGTTCTCGTACTAGTAAAATCGATTTGAAACCATAATTATCCGTAAGACACGTCTCGTAAGATAGGATTTCAGGGGACTGTGCAACGTGCTTTGTAAATGCCGACCTTGATATTATATAAATGTTCTTCATTAATACTCATTTTATTTTTCATTTTACTTTCCTTGGCTTGAGTATAACAGTTATCTTCCATAATGGTGGATAGATATTGAAAGTTTATATCATAGATATCCTATAAAGACTTTATAGGAGAACGCTAGATCGAGGACGGTCCTACGCATTTCTTTACCTTGGTGTAAGCGGCCCGTGCATTCGGAGTTCTTTTGTTTGACCGAGTGTTTGGTTTGATTTTCCCCGCGAAATTCAATCAGATGAGATGACTAGTAATCTTAAAATGTCGGACTCGGAGCCTAAAATGCCACTGAAAAGAAAGAGGTACGGTATATGCTGTTATCGCTGAATAATCCAATTTCCTTGCTCAATTAATCGACCATAGTAACGTCTCACACGCCAGATTATCTCAACGCTTCAGATTTATTATATGTTCTCGCAGCTAACGTCAACGAACTTCCAAGTTCTAGCAGTAGGCCTACCACCAGTGGTGCAGGGCCTGTTAATATATTAGCCTATAGGATAGGTTATTGCCGGCTTTTAATAACCGATTTTTAATTCATTGTCGACAAAATGGCGAAAATTTAACCGGTCCTTGGTTCATGGTGTATTGGTAGCCTGCATATGACTTTTATATTAATCTCACTGTCACTATCATATAGGTACATGTATCATATGTGACTAAAAAAAATTAAATTTATGGAAATTTAATAAAACCATAATTATCCGTAAGACACGTCTCGTAAGATAGGATTTCAGGGGACTGTGCAACGTGCTTTGTAAATGCCGACCTTGATATTATATAAATGTTCTTCATTAATACTCATTTTATTTTTCATTTTACTTTCCTTGGCTTGAGTATAACAGTTATCTTCCATAATGGTGGATAGATATTGAAAGTTTATATCATAGATATCCTATAAAGACTTTATAGGAGAACGCTAGATCGAGGACGGTCCTACGCATTTCTTTACCTTGGTGTAAGCGGCCCGTGCATTCGGAGTTCTTTTGTTTGACCGAGTGTTTGGTTTGATTTTCCCCGCGAAATTCAATCAGATGAGATGACTAGTAATCTTAAAATGTCGGACTCGGAGCCTAAAATGCCACTGAAAAGAAAGAGATACGGTATATCCTGTTATCGCTGAATAATCCAATTTCCTTGCTCAATTAATCGACCATAGTAACGTCTCACACGCCAGATTATCTCAACGCTTCAGATTTATTATATGTTCTCGCAGCTAACGTCAACGAACTTCCAAGTTCTAGCAGTAGGCCTACCACCAGTGGTGCAGGGCCTGTTAATATATTAGCCTATAGGATAGGTTATTGCCGGCTTTTAATAACCGATTTTTAATTCATTGTCGACAAAATGGCGAAAATTTAACCGGTCCTTGGTTCATGGTGTATTGGTAGCCTGCATATGACTTTTATATTAATCACACTGTCACTATCATATAGGTACATGTATCATATGTGACTAAAAAAAATTAATGGAAATTTAATAAAACTGTCATCATTGGAAAGGACGTGGAATATGCATTACTGTGGTGTTTAAATTTTGGTTCTACTCCAAATAGCAAAAAAGTTACATCATTTTGAAAATTGGAAAATCGGGTCAATAGCCTATTGACCCTTGAGTTACCTTCCCATTTATTTCTATGCTTATGTACTGAACTGTAGGCCTACCAGTACATGATGTAAACATAGGAAAAATAAACATCAAAAACAAAGACTTATTTATTTTACAGGCACACAGGAAATATATTGAGTCATTCCATGCCAGTAAGTTCCAGGTAATTACAACCAATACAGACCTGCAATTGTAGTTCAAACTAGGCCTAGTAGTTATGATGATTTATCATGATTTTCAAGTTCGGCTGGGTGACCGAATGGTTGAATATCAGAAATGAAATGGGGGTTTAACGTCCTACTGATGGAAGTCCGGCATATGCTACAGTGTGCTATGGGGGAAATTTTTCCTAGGCAGCAGCACTATGGCCTACTCTTGCGTTGAATTAGACTGTCTGTCATTGAGTCCATTTGTGTGATTGCAATAAAAACCGATGCGCAAGCGAATTATTGAAATAAAATTGAACCATGTAAGTCCTAGTTAGACCTCTTTTAAATTGAAATAATTTAGTCCACAAAATGTTTGTTGGTAACAGTTGATTTTAATTTGCATGCAAATCGTGAACCACTAAAAGGAGCCGACAGAAACATTAGGTTAGTTTTCCCCTTACTGATGTAATAACATTCAACAATATCTAATAAATGACCCGTCCCACAGTCATGTAAAAAACTAATTGGTCAATTTTAACCATGGAACAAATGTGTTTATAAAATATGAGAAAACATCAAATTATTGTGTCTCATCTCTGTACAATCAAACTGTGATTTTGGAGCTGGCTCACAAACCTTGGGATCCTAGAAAGTTTTTCTGCATTATCAATCCTGGTTTTCTAAGGTCAGCAATAAAGGATAGGGGGGGGGGGGGTGTATACCATTTGCAGCATGATACTGTTCACCTGACAATTGAAGTTTCACTGTTCGGACAATTTCTCACATATAACACTGAATGACATATGCCCATTTCCTTTAATCTTTTTAATTTATTTATTTTTCAGATATAAAACAAATACTATAAAAGATCGGCAACGTTGTTAGCGGTACCTTTAATCTGGGGCAGTCATGCCCAGACCCAGCTAATCCAACGAGAATAAAAAGATCCCCCTCCACAAGTCCACCCACTCTAGAAGATGCATGTATTGTGAAGAAACAGACCACACAATTTTAAGAATATTACAGAATATAATATATACTGACCAAAATTAAATATACACAATATAAAACAGGAATATGTTTTAATAGCATCAATGTTAACACTGCGTGAAGTTTTAGATTTTATACTCGACATCTACTTACCGGTCTTAGAGATAAGCAATTTTGAGGCAAAAGTTTATAGCTATAGCATAAACAATTCTCTGTGATCTCAACCTTGCCACCCTTTTTTCTGTGGTCTCTGTGACATCTCTTGGATGCCTTGAGACAACACGTCTGTGCACAGTTTTCCTACGCTTTGATGGTGAGGAAGGGTCTGTAAGATGGGTCAGTCGTAGCCTTTTCTAGTGTTGGCAAATCCGGCAAACTTTTAATATTATCAGAACTTGATAGTGGTGTAGGAATAGTGGTGCGTGGATCACTGGATGTGTCAGCTACTCAGCATAAAAAGCATAAAATATCGATAGATTTTCCCACTCTTACTGCCTCTACATAGCTTTTTTTAGACAATTCTGAAGAAAACAAAACATTCAAAACTTGTGAAAATATCAACAAATATCATTCTAAGGATATTGTCATTTGGTTTATAAATTTCATTGAGTTTAAAACAAATATACACATTGCAATACATAATTACTTTCAACGAAAAATAGTCTTTATTATTTGGTAGTTTTTAGTTTGGTCAAAAAATTTCATAAAGAATGAAGACATACTTGTATCACAAGTCCTGCATGTCCATTGATCACACTTGCCTGTTCTTCACTGCCCTACTAGTACTACACTTTACAGTTTACACGCTTCTCAACCATTTTGAATGACAGATTTTCAATTGACAAAAATTACCAGCCATTCCTTTTATAAATACGGGACTACCTACTATCACTATAAACCATTCTATCTTCCAAATTACAAAGAATCCATTCTGTATTTTAGTATACAATGTATCATTTGCAGGTGAAAAGTCCAGCCATTTAGTAGGCCTAGTATCTATTTGATCACACGAAAATATAAAAACAACAACCCATCCTATAATTCCACGGCATATTCAAATGGTGTTTAGTTGTGGTTTTGTCTATAATATCCATATTTAGCACATAAATGTCGAATACAGTATAAAAAAGAGCCATGAACGGCTAAGACTCATTGTCACCAGACTAGAGGCAGTTGCTCGGATCTAAGTTAGAGGTTATTAAGGGCTTTTCACACACAATTAAACATTTTTATAGCCCAAAATCCATCTGGAAATATCCCTTTAAAAATTATTTCACTACAAAGTCGATATATAGGGGTCAGGTCATAGTTACGTATAGATACGTCTGACACAATACTTACATCAATAAATTAAAATCATAAAAACATCGAGGGGTAATTAGCGCAAGGTTGGCAATCTGCGCACCAGCTTAATACTCGCAGATTGCAGGGGTGAAGATAATCAAGGTTGCGCCTTCGCATTTTCTTAGTGTGCCGCACGACACGATACTAGATTAGTGTGCCGTTCAAAATTTCGCGACACATTTAGGGAGATCCCGCGGCACCTGGGCGTGTCAAAACGGGTCATAGTTCAATTAGGTCAATTCTGCCAAACCGCAACGCATTATGCCAATTATGGGGTAAAAGTAAATTTTGATTTTATTTTTAATTTTATTTTGATTTTAACTTCCATTTAATTTCAATTTTAATCACACTGATCAGCAGTGAATTTTCGCTAGGCCACTACAATCACTGATAAGGATGACATCGATGCAACTGAATGAGCCAGAAATATTAACTTTTTTCCTGCGACAAATTAAATTCTAAAACATTTTTTTATGTATTGGAAAAATAAATAAAGGCGTTTGACGTATTGTAGGTAAAAATTATTTCCTATTTAGAGTAAATGGGTATTAAAATGACTAAAAGGCAGCATTCGAGCTTCCCGAAGCAGTAACGTCTTATGTAAACAATGCACGCGCCATTCAGCCAATATGACGTTCCTTTGGAGTTTGATTTGATTTTTATCTAGATTTGATTTTACTTTTCAATTTGATTTAGCTTTTAAGATTACTGGTCGTCTGATCTGATTGAATTTCGCGGGGAAAATCAAACCAAACACTCGGCAAACAAAAGAACTCCGAATGCACGGGCCGCTTACACCAAGGTAAAGAAATGCGTTGGACCGTCCTCGATCTAGCATTCTCCATAATTTTAACCGACCGATCGACTGTCTGAATTTTATTATATTAAACATTAAGTGTAAATATTGTCTATAAATAGTATAAAACATCGAGTTCAATTAAATAATTGATATAATTTGCAAAATTAGCTTTTAATAAGGTAAAATCACCACGATTAAAAATCTCGTACCACTTTACATTTGTATAGAAGCAATAGGGAATGTGCGTGGTATTTTGGAGCGTGGTATTACTAGGCCTATAGGCCTATTATACACACGACGTGTTGTGTTATATTATGTTCAATCGCTGAATGCCATTCAAAGATTAGCTTGATCTATAATACAATAATGGAATGTGATCAATAATAAAAATAATGACAATCTACTTCCAGTTCGTTTTTGCTACCCGTCAAACATGACGGAGTTGCAAAGTACAATGCGCAAAGACGAGTGCGCATCGAGTGGCTGGCTGTGTCTATTTATATCGTCAGCTGTGCTATAAATATCGTCTGCTGCTATTTATATTTATTATGTGGGTTGTATGGATTTGGACTTTACGGTTTCACTTACTTAATAATTAATGAGATGTTGTGTTCATTGAAATGTATGGAAACCATATATTATATTTGTAAAGATTAAATCAACATTTAAAAACGTGTTTGAAATAAAATTAAAATTTTGCATGTCTTTGTTTACTGTTCTTTATTGTAATTATTATTTAAGGAGTATTTCATGAGAACAAAACTTATAAATTAAGGTCATTTAATGAAATGTTCCTTTAACGAATAAATGAAAAAATATTATATTTGTAAAGATGAAATCAACATTTAAAAACGTATTTGAAATAAAATTAAAATTTTGCATGTCTTTGTTTACTGTTCTTTATTGTAATTAGTATTTAAGGAGTATTTCATGAGAACAAAACTTATAAATTAAGGTCATTTAATGAAATGTTCCTTAAATGAATAAATACCACAAATTTTAAAACGTTTTTATTTAACAATGTTTCAGACACTTTAAGTTTAAGCCTGCCAGGAAATCCAAGATTAATAACACAAAAAATAGAAAACAAAGTTATATGTCAGTCTGCGAATGCGCGAGTTAGGCCGTTGCCTTCAAACGGCACTGAGTTTATTTTCGATAAATAATACATTTATCGATATTGGAATGATTAATTTTTACTCTATATGTGTGCGTGATCGCCAGGGACATTTTTATGTGAAATAGATGTGTACTGTTTTGCTGTTTAACGTAATTATAACCAAGAACTTTTGATCAGCTGTTAACTGTCAAATATTTAAAATGGCCGCCTCCAATGATCTGCCGATGTCTACTTTATCTGTCACCTTTTCTTTAACTATTTAGAAATTCGCTGATATTTACGATTTATTATAACGTGACTCATAAAAATTATACACGGGTTATATAAACCTTGTTTATTTCCATTTCAATATGCGATGGTTTATTTTACTTACCGTACCGATAATTGAAGATTAGTTTGGCTAGGCCTAACAACAGATCGGCATTATCAATGGCCGCCAAGGAAAGATAACTGGAACATTACATGGACTCAGACTACTAGATTTCAACATGAGTAGTTCTTCTTCGTATATTAAAACTATTGACTACGATTCCTTAAAAGACTCAGAAATATCTTTTAACACCTCGATATTTAAAATAATTAAATCGGATGATGTAGAACTACCAACAACTCTGGTTAACTCTATTTATACTATTTATGACTATACTGAATATTCCACATCCATTGTTGTTCAATTCCACTGTGTGGATTCATATACTAACTTACTGTCATCATGTGCAAATTCTCATGTGCTGTATAAAAACAATGAAAACAGTGGGAAAGGAATTATTTATAAATCATCCAATAATTTGAAAAAAGCGACAATTACCTTCTACAATAAATACAATAAGCTTCATATTCAAGGAAAGGACAGTTCTGCGTGGGTGGACACCAATATATTTCAAATTAAACCAAACCTTAAAAGTATTAATACTAACAATAGTGCTCTAAGTGATAGCCTACCTTCCGTGCTGTCTCTTGTAAATTTATGTCAACAACCTGTTACGAGCACGCCATTAAAGGAAAAGGGAAACAACAATTTACTAGAAGATACTCAGCCACTAATTCCGGGCCCTGTTACTACTGTAAGTGTTACATCAAACAATATACCTGAACTGAACTATTCTAACGCACTTTCTGAAATTATCAACCGAATTACAGAGCTTTCTGATAAAGTCAATGCTCTAATATCGGCACAAAATAAACTTATTGGAAATTCATCTACATGTAGGCCTACATCAAATGCAGTAAAAACATTTAATGACAAATCAACAAGTACATCAAATATAGTAAAAACAGTTAATGACAAATCAACAAGTACCTGCAGTTCAGCAATTCAAGATAAGTCTACCAACACATCTTCTATCTATACCGCGGCTAAATGTGTATCAACTAGTGTTGATAATAATAACAATAGGCCTATTACTGATGTATGTATTTCTACCGGTGCAAAATCAACAATAAATTCGACCAACTCAACTACTAGTAAACGTTCAACGAGATTTCTAGAAAAACCTATACCTTTCAACTTTAGTAAAGCTAAAACACTGTTAATAGGAAGTTCAGTTACAGCTGGTATAAAAACACCTAACATTACAAAATTATTCGATCACGAATGCGTAGTTGACACCAATCGTGGGGCCTACTATACTAATATAAATGATAGACTTGTGCAACTTTTAAATTGTAAGCACTCTCTTAAAAACATCATTATATGTGCTGGGGGGAATGATATTTCATTAAACAATTCCCATCAAAACACCACAGACTTTATTAAACTAATTTCAGTCACCAAAAACTCTTTTAAAGGAAATATTTATATTTGTTCGGCATTGCCAAGAAATATACATCGTCCATATATTAGACAATGTAAAAAATTTAATACTTATATCCAGGAGTTCTGTAATAAAAATAACCGCACGTTTATTGATGTATTTACACACTTCTACCAAAGATGTCCAAAGGATGTAATGAAACGTGACGGAGTTCATCCTAATTATAATGGAAATGATCTATTAATGAATATTTTAAGTAATACTTTTGTTTCAGCTAATTCAACTGATGCGCATGAACATGTACCCGTTAAATCAACAAATTACTATGAATACTATGACTATAAAAGATCTCGCCAATATGAGTACAGGTGTAATGTATATAACAATAGACCATTGCACAATCCTTATTACTTCCCACAATATAACTCTCCCCCATATCATAATTATGCTTAAGATAAATTTGTTTATTCATA